GTGAATGATATCAGTCTCTTAAGTCTATCTTTTTATATAAAACATTTCAGATATACATTCTGCATAATAACTTTTGTTATCTCTAGATTCTAGGCTGATAGGTGTCATCTGAATAAGAGTGCTACCTGGCCAGCTTTAAACCAGTCTGGCTGGTTCTTTGCCTTCTATCTGTATTGTTCTCTCTAAAATCCAGGTTCATTGCTTAAATAGTGAGCACATTCAAATGTGCAACTTCAAATGTGCACACATTTAAATAGATTGATGTGGGAAAATGATTGCTTGTACATAAGAGCATGAGCAGAGTTCTTATTATTGCAGAGTGATTTTACAGCACGAGATATTGCTAAGAGCATGATGAGCGCGTGAATACCTCATGCTAGACTAATGATTGGCTCACGTAGCATAACACTCTCTTTGTCTGTGGGCAAAAGCAAGGTTACATTCCTTTGATTTGTTACTTTTGAGTACCAGGCAGAACAAGCGCAGTGCTGGAGGAGGGAGGATGATTTTCTTTTTTACTGCACACAATAAACATTGCACGGCTGAAGCCAAAGCTTTTTCTTCAAGTCATTTTGGTGTGAGACTGATTTCTTACTGATCTTCTTACTGATGTCGAGCTGGATTCTCGACATTTGGTGCCCCGTGTGACTACTTTCGGACTCCACGTTGTTTCTCATCGTTCAGCGCTCACCACACGTCTTTCATCCGCTATGGATCCCGGTGAGTGCTCCCTTGGTACCCCGTGTATGTGATTCTGGATTACGTTACGGGCTTATCAGCACTTATCTCGCCCGGCAAGGGCTGCAGACGCGTCGTTCATCCTTCTAAGGATCCCTGGTAAGTGCTCCCTGCTCTTTTTGCGACTCTTGCTATCATGGGGACGTCTCTATCTGCACCACAGAAAAAGTTTTCTGAAGACCTTAAATTTCTCTTGGCCAGCAACAGCCTCATTGTCTCAGATGCTGATATCGTGTCTCTTATAGAAGCATTGGATATTCACTGTCCCTGGTTTCCTCAGAATGGGAATTATCATTTAAAAGACTGGGAAAAAATAGGACAATTTTTCCAAAACCATCCTCAGATTGATGTCAAAGTTTTGCATGCCTGCTGTAAGGTTTATAAGGCTATCTCAAGCCTAACTCCTACAAATCTCCTCCTGGCCGCTGCTTCAGCTCCTTTGCCCCCCCTCCCAATCCTCATGCTGCCTTCAGAAGCACCGTTTTATCAGCCTCCTAAACAGGCAGACATTTTTCCTCCTTCGGCTTCTGTCGTCCCTCCTCCACATTCTTCGCTTCCTGCGCCTCCCGTTACTACTCCTCTCCAAGAATCTCTCCGCGCCGCTGCTCCGTTGCTAGCTTTTGATTCTACAACTTCTAATCTTTTTCCTGTGAGTGTTCCTCCCGCCCTGGGGGAGGCCCAGCCAGGCACGAACAGTTTGATTTGAGATTCATAAAGGAACTGTATTCTTCTGTCAAGGACAATGGCCCTACACCCCCAGCCCCCGTCATGTTGACCCAAACTGATGTTCTCGATGGGCTGATGGGAGGAGGCAATTTTCTTCCTATTGCCCAACAGTTGGCCCTTGATCCTATGTATTGGGCAGCCACCACAGCCGCTGCCCAAGAGACTCTGGCCTCTGTCCCTGATGACAAGACTGAGCGCAATGGCCGATGGGGGAGCATCAGACAGGGCCCTGCAAAGCCCTATGGACAATTTGTTGATCGCTTGTATAATACCTTCAAGCGGCAAGTTCAGGACCTGGCAGCACAAGAAGCGATTGTTTGCCAGCTTGTGTTTGATCATGCACATGAGGACTGTAAGCAAGTGCTGCACCCTTTGATGGCAACATCAAATATAGCCATTGCAGATATGCTTAAAGCCTGCCAGTCAGTGGGCACTGAGATGCATAAAGCTCGCCTGCTAGCCGCAGCTCTGTCCTCCACCGTGTCCCAAAATCCTGCAAAGGATAAAACCTGTTGGATTGACAGTGGCTAAGGAAAAAATCCAGCGGACCTTACCTATTGCGTACCTGGGACACAAGCTGACAGCATCTGCAGCCATTCCAGTCACGCCTCAACTACAGTTTCCTGGTCATCTTAGACTGGTGGATTTACAACAAATTCTTGGACAGCTGAATTGGATAAAGAGTTATTTGGACCTGCCTCATACTCCTCCGTGGAACGTGTATGCTACACCCAACACCGTCATGGACCTTGTTGCTAAGGGCCGACATTGAGCCCTTGCTCTCTCTGGAATGGACTTACAGTCAGTGTACCTGCCCTTCTCCCAGGAGGAACTTATGCATTTGATGATGACAGCTGTTTCTACTCAAATAGCTTTTGCTGATTTCTTGGGAAATATCATTCACAATCCTCCTAGAGACCCTCATTTGTCTTTCCTTACAGGGCTACGTTAAGTTTTGCGAAATGCTTTGTCCCTCCTACCCTTACCCTCCGCCCTTACTGTGTTCACTGATGGTACCAAATCCAGAGGGGTGGTGGTGTGGGAAGAGGAGGGGGAATGGAAAAGTTTGTATACTGCTGAGCAGTCCTCAGCACAACGTGCTGAATTGGCAGCTGTAATTTTGGCATTTCAACAGTTTGCTAATATCCCTTTCAATCTCATTGTGGATTCTCATTATGTATATAATCTTTTGAATGTCTTACCATTGTCTTATATCACTCCTGCTATTGATCAAAATTTGTTTACATTGTTTTCCACTTTGCAGAACTTGGTACAAGCTAGAACTTGTCAGTTTTATGTAGCCTATCTCAGATCTCACACTGGCTACCCTGGGTATTTGGCAGAAGCTAATGCCCAGGCAGACCATGCTTTGAAGAATGGTATTTTTTCATTGTTTTCAGACCCATTTGAAAGTCATTCTGTATTTCATCAAAATGCTAAAGTTCTGGCAAAATCTTTTTCGTTGCCCATTTCTCAAGCTCGAGACATTGGGCTTTTTCTGGATTGTGGTTTTTACATGCCAATAATCGAGCAACACAGGTTGCTCGGAAGTGGCCATTGGAATAATTTACCATTCTCATCCTTATTGGCATCACTTGGATTTTACCCCCCAGATATTTTTTTTTCTCCTCCCTCAGGAGTCCTGCCCTATGATGTGTTCCCCTGAGCATGTACAGAGGGCTGTCTTGGAACTATTGTGGACTCTTGGCAAGGGAGGGGGTGAGGGGATTTCAGTGTGTTCCAGTTGTTTCATTTTTGTGCTTTGGCATGGTTCCCGGACAGAAAGAAAGTTGCAATATGGTTTTTTAGCAAGGCCCGCGAAGACAATGGGCTCTGTTCTCGACCTTGTTGCAATCTTTTTAGTTACAGCAAGCGGAATATGCTTGGCTAGTGCCTTTTTAGCTGCTGAGAAAAATGATTTTAAAAAGCTTTGAGCTTTTTTTTGGTGGTGGTATTCTAGCATTCCAGTAAATGCTTCATTTAAGATTAGCAATAATATAAAGGACAATCGTATAAGTTTATCGCCTGTGTTTTGTTGCTTGCAGAAATAGTGTCTTATTGTTTTCGTTTTAATCATAATAGCAATAACTTTTTAGGTCATTATCCATATTGTAATTGGACCTATGAGTATTTTGATGGATTTTTTTGTTTTTTATTTTTTTTTATTACCACTATGAGTGATAGGCCAAAAGTCTCAGTTAATAATGTCACAACTTACATGACTTATGACCAACAGGCTGCGTGTAGAGATTTTTATGTTTGGTTCAACTGGATGAGAAAGAGCAGTAAATCTACATGTTTGCTTCAATCTGATTTATGGTTATTCTGTGGCAAATTGGACCGAAGCTTTGTTTTTAATTCTATCATCTTTGTTTTACAAATAATTAACAACAAAAAAAACAACAACAAAAAACAAGACAAAAAAAAAGTCAGAAATGAGAGAAGTTGCTTTATAAATTTTTTATGCTTTAAATGTAATCCTTGCCTCTAAAGTTGGAATTTATGCCTTAATTCATTCTCATTGTTGTATGTATATAACTGATCAATCAACCAATATCTCTGCTATTATTGATTATATGGAACAAATGATAACCCATAATCCTTTGAATCCACCTGAAGGTTTTGATCCATGGGATTGGTTATTTTTTTGGTTACTTAATGGAGTATGGTTAAGAAATTTATTATTGATTGTAATTGCATGTATTGTTGGTTTTATTATGTATTCAATGCTTGCTTTTTTTTTATTTCCCAATATATTGCATGGTGGTGTCGACCACGGCCCACCACAGGGGTTACAAGGGGAATTTATGTTGCAAAATATAAACGCTTAGGTAATGAGATATATGATTCTGATTAAGATTTCCTCTTATAATATAAACAAGAAAAGAGGGCATGTGGGAAAATGATTGCTTGTACATAAGAGCATGAGCAGAGTTCTTATTATTGCAGAGTGATTTTACAGCACGAGATATTGCTAAGAGCATGATGAGCGCGTGAATACCTCATGCTAGACTAATGATTGGCTCACGTAGCATAACACTCTCTTTGTCTGTGGGCAAAAGCAAGGTTACATTCCTTTGATTTGTTACTTTTGAGTACCAGGCAGAACAAGCGCAGTGCTGGAGGAGGGAGGATGATTTTCTTTTTTACTGCACACAATAAACATTGCACGGCTGAAGCCAAAGCTTTTTCTTCAAGTCATCTTGGTGTGAGACTGATTTCTTACTGATCTTCCTACTGATGTCGAGCTGGATTCTCGACAGATTGACAAAAGTGGTGAAATTACAGACCTGGGAAAAGTAGGAGAATGTGTTGAGAAATGTGGGCACAAACCACTTGAATGGATGGAATAATACATGGGCTGTTGAAATTTGTGTTATACCGGATGCCAGCCCCTTAGTTTATACTTCTCAGCAACATTATGTTGCTAAAAGCTAAGCCTATGTATATATTTCAGGGAAGTAATTTTCTCCACTAGCTGTTCCCTTACAAGGCAAAATATTGTTGTGACCCTTTTGTCATTTTCTTTATTTTAGAGGATGGCTCACTGCCTGCGGGCTCTTTTCACAAAAAGAGGGTGGTGAAGAGGCCAGGATACATGAGAACAGAAGTGCTGCAGCAGATAGGATTTCAGCCTCTTTCTGACTGTAAACCCTTCGGCCCCAAAGGGCTTGAGCATAATGGCAGAAAACACTACAGAGAATTTAAAAATTGCTTTCTGAAGAGGCGATGCAAAAATGATACATTACATTGTAATGCTTGTGTAAACAGTCCCTCGGTTTCCCCAGATGTGGCAACTGGATCGCTTACTGCTGGAAATAAAGCAGTCAGTCTCAGACCCCTGGCTGATTTCAGAGTGCAGCAATCAGAAGATCTAATTCAACCAGTTTGTCCTGTGGTTGCCATCTATAAAAGAGATCTGTTGCCTGCATCCAGCTCATCCTCACAGCAGACTAATTTGCTTGACTCTGTGAAGGAGACTGCTTTTCCTGTTGGAACCCAGGAGAAGGAAAGAATGCATGCTTTGGATCAGAAGGAAGAGAACAACAACCAGGAATCTGAAAGCAATCACTTTAATTCAAGTTTTAGCTTCATACAGCTCTCGCTAAATTCATCTTGTGAAACAAACAGCATTGGAGGCCCAGTAGATTGTAGAGAGCCTAAAGAAGCTTGGCAAACATGCAAAACAGGAAGAGCAGAAAACGTTAATTTGCATGTACCTTGGGAGGGACAAAGAACTTCAGGGAAAGAACTATGGGCTTCATCCATCTCTCTGTGTAGCAAAGACCACAAGTGCCCAAGGGAGACTGCAGAAGATGATAAAGTGCTGGATTGTGAATCACACTCACTTTCACATTCGAATGCTGCATTTTCCTGTTCAACTGAGTCTTTGGAAGCAGCATCTGCTGGTTCTTCTGTGACCTCAGGCTATGAAAGTAGTAACACTGTTAGCGATCACAGCTGGGATTCCCTGATGAAGAAATATGAGCCAGTGCTACAGGACTGTTTGCTGGGCAACCAAAGTATATTAAAGGTTAGCGTTTTTCCTCATTCCTGTTTTGTGTTATAGGAATTTGAAATCAAATCCACAGCTTGTTGTGCAAGACAGGAAGCAGTTGTTGCACTTATTGGTGGCATTTGTAGTGCGGATTGGAAAATATGGTTATGGAACTGTTGTTGGCTAGTTCTAATCAACATGCAAAATTCAACCCCATCATGCCCTGTAGTGCATCCTCCATCATATTGGTTCTTTAGTTCCTTAGTGCGCATTCTCCTCTCTTCCAAAAATTCCTACCTTACCTACTCCCGTTCTGTCAACTCCAGTCCCTTTCTGCCCAACTCCAGTTTAAAAGGGGCCTTGAAGTTGCCACCAGCAGGTAGCAGCTGGGAAAGCAGACTGGGCAGACACACAGATCACCAGGCCACAGTCTTTCCTGCTGTGGTGAGATGTATTTCCACTTCTATCATATTATTTGCCTCTATACATATAAATATTATTCAATGTGATGTCCTCTCTTTTGGTAGTGCATTTCCTCCCCACTCCCTTTTTTGGCAATACATAAACAGCCAACCAACACAGTGTCATTTGCCATTAGGTTTTTCCTGGTTATGCTCCCCATAGCTCCCTCCATGCCACTTCCATCCTCTTTCAAAGAGGTCTTTCCCCTTGGGTTATTGGCTCTTAGCTCACTGCTTAGTCTTAATGGTTTCAGGCTTATTTTAAAATTAGGTAGAATTATTACTATTTGACGTCATATTTCTTGGCTGAAGCATGAAAGGCAGGAGACGGAATTCAGAGTTTGTTCTGTAGTTGTGCTTTCAGATTTGCATGTGAATGGATATTATCAAACATGAAACCTGTCGCATTTGACAGCTTGTGAAATGCTCTTCTAATATCTCGATGCCTGCTCTGTCCTGCTTTTGAAATCTATAAGACATAAGTATCCTCAGAAATTTTCTAGTTAAGTGTGCCAAAATTGACACACTTGAAATGTTATGATCATATGTGCAGTTATATAGATTTGAATTCAATAGAGAATAAAGATTCATAGAAATACTGTTAATTGTCTCTTAATTAATGCAGATAAAATCCTTAATAAGAAAGCTTCAAAGACTTCAAGCGAAGGCGGTAGCTGAGGATGATTATGAGAGGGGTGAGTTTTTTCCTCGTATTGCTGGACTTCTATTTTGTTTTACAATATAGTTTTCTGTGATAGTTTTTTGGGATGATGAGATCTTGGCAATCATTCCCCTCCATTCAAGGGCTCAGGGTAGATTTCAATACTCTCCTATCCTTAGAAAAACCCTAATGAAGGAGGTTCTAGAGAGTGGGAGACTTGCCCAAGGCCACCCAGCTAACCTTAATGACAGGGTAGAGATTGAATCTGAGTCTTCCACATCCCCATTAGGAAATGTTATGTATTATTGCATAGAGGTATGTTGAATTCAAACATTTGTAACAGAGTCTTAGTACTCTAGAAAAGAAAATCAGATTTGGAAGGGAGAAAACTGGAGCTGAGAAATAGCAGTGGAGATGGGGAACGTAACCCTTTTTCCTGCCCATCACTTTTCTGCCCCAATTTTCTGCCTCCTAAAGTGGTTGTTCTGTTGTTTTTCAAGGTTTGGGGGCTCTGTTATATGTATATATTTGCATCTGACATATAGTTAGCTGCTGAGTGTTAACTCAAAATTAGCAAAATTGATATAGGAATAGTCAACTTCTACTAAAAAGAAATGAGATAAAGTAATGGGGAGAAAGACATTATTTCTTCCCTGCTCTGTGCTTAGTCACTAAAGGAGGGCCACTCATGGTCCATATAGTTGGAGGATAGATTACCCTCTCTCTCCACTACCCTTTTCTATGCCTAGCTGTGGGTGAAGTTGGGATTCTAATCAATATTAACCATGGAAAAAGAATGTGATCAGCATCTAAAATAAATAAATGCAGAGTCCAAGGGTATGATGGTGTTGAGATGCAACCACCCTTGTGTTGCACTTCTTCCAGTGTCTTCACTTGCGGAGTCATCTGTCTGTTCTGTTCATTCACACTGTGTGCTTTGACATGCATGGCTTTCTTTCATTTTGTGTCAGATCCTCAGAATTTCTACTTCCCCCAGAACTGGGCCCATGGCTATTTGCATTCCATCATGGGACCACCATGTTCTAAAAAGGCACTTCTTGTGTTATTTTTGAAAGGCAGGTGTTTGTAATGCAGTGGTTTGCACTCAGGAGTGACTAAAGATCCATGAAAAAATAAGGTTGATTCAATCTAATGTACATGACTCAAGGGAACTTAGTGTAAATTCCAGAACTACCTTTGGAGCTTTGCATTAGTTGCATTTTTATAAGTGACAAGTATGTTATCATTCTGACATTACATTTCCATAGATCATCTTGTCAAAATGCACATAAGGAGGCAAACTTAAAGCTGCAAAAACAACAATATTAGTTTTTCCTAACTTTACTTCTTGACCTATTTCTCTTTTTCCTTTCTGCTGACACTGTTCTCAGCCAAGTTTCTGGCACTGCTTTTTATTATTTTGTGTCATATGACCAGACTTCTCAAGATCTTTTGTGAAATCCACATTGCTTCTCTCAAGGGAAAGCTTCTGATCTTGAAAGCTGAGAGCAGGAAGAAGAATTAAAATCTTGACCTTCCATTCCCTTTGCTGTCATGTCGGTTTCAGCTCTGTTTGCAGAAATTACTTTGTAGTTTGGGGAATGTAGCAAAGTCACACCTGGTGAAAAGTTAGGTTTTAAAACTCACTAAAGTATGGAAAGACTACTTGTTACCAGTCTCCTTTGCAAGACACCTGAGCTGATTATTTATAATTCCTCATGTGATGTGAATAATAGGTTGTATGATGGGGCAGGAAGGAAGTGGATTAGGGGAACTTGCAGGCCCCATATGATAAACAGAGTATATTATGGGGAACAGGATGAAATAAATCACCGTCATTATGAAACAAGGTGGGGGAGACTACATTAAGAACATCCTTTGATGGCATTCGGATCAAAGAGTTGTTGTTGAGCTTTTTTTAGGGAGAAGCAAAGCCCCATTTTTGGGGGGTGCAGGGCAAAAAAAATGAGCCTTTTTTAGGGCAGCTGCTTTGAGGGGAGCCAGTTATCTACCAGTGATCTACCACAGACGTCCAGTGATCTACCGGTAGATCACAACCTACCTGTTGGACGTGCCTGATAGGACATTTTATTGTAGGGCTTCACTATACATGAAGATGTTTCTCAAAATGATCTATTGTGTTGTATAATATCTCCCACCCTATGCTTTCTAGACAGTCACTGAACTAGACTGCAGCCCCCTTTCCCTATACAGTGGTACCTCAGGTTAAGTACTAAATTCGTTCCGGAGGTCCGTTCTTAACCTGAAACTGTTCTTAACCTGAAACACCACTTTAGCTAATGGGGTCTCCTGCTGCTGTCGAGCCGCCGAAGCACGATTTCAGTTCTCATCCTGAAGCAAAGTTCTTAACCCGAGGTACTATTTCTGGGTTAGCGGAGTCTGTAACCTGAAGCGTATGTAACCCGAGGCACCACTGTATAGCTATGAATGGAATGGTGAATCTGCTGGAGGTCTTTAAAGATTAGCATTTTGGGCACAGGATTTCTTCCATATCATGAATTGGTTAGAGAGCACAAGTGGGTGATGAGGAACTGGAAGTATGTAACTTGTTTTATGGAGATTATGTTTCTGTGCTTTTCTCACCTTCTCATGAAAAGCTATTTTATTACTATGTCTGAAATGATTCACAGCTCAGGTTGGCCTAACCTCGTTGTAGCATGATCAGCCATGCCTGATCATAAAAGGTGTAGCATGGAATGCTGTGGTTGGGTTGACCCTGGGGCTCCAGGAAAACCAGAATTAATTCCATGGAGAGGGCAGAGAGAGGGATGATCTCTCTGCTGGTCCATATGTAGGCTTCCTGTGACTTTGGGGAATAATTTCACCTCTGACCTTCCAAAGGGCACACATTTCTGAGAGACCTTTCCCTAAACCAGCCTTGCCTGTTGGACTGTAGCCAAAACAAGTGTAGTGAAATATCTCTATCCCAATGTGTTATCTAGGAAAATATAGGTATTCTAGAGAAACCAGCTGCCTGTGATGAGGGGTCCACCAGTATCTGCCTGGTAGACTTGGTTGCCTAGCGACTTCCAAGTCACACCAGGTTTATGCCCTCTGTTGCATTGTGTTAGTGAAATCTTGGAGAATAATTATTGCCTGGAAATAGGTATTTATTCCCTATAATGGATATACATCTGATAATCTCTCTCTGTAATATGTGGGTTGCTTTCATTATCTCCTCTCAATTCCCCAGATAGTCTTTGCGATATTGAATATTGGGCCCTCCTGTAGCTGGATCTCTCTCTAATCCAGATGAACACAAACATTGTTTCCCAAAGGTATCTGGTCATATATCTTAGCATAGTTTTCTTGAGTAATGAAGAGAGATGAATTAAAATTGTTTTTACCTGGCGGACATTGGGGAGAGACCCATTCATTGTTCCCACTTCATTAATAGAATTTACATTTCACAATGAAGGCACCGATTAATCATTAACATTTATTGAAGAGGCTTTCCTGGGATAATACATTTGGGAAGTAGTTAATACCATTTGCTTAGAGAATCTGTCTCTTAACAACAAAGGAGCAATACATTCTGATGAAATTGTGCTGATATTTCTAATTAGCAGGCAAGAATCTCCTTGGTACTACATGTTTTGACAAGTTTTTCCCTGGGCATTAAAGGTATTGCTTCATTATTGTGGATTTTGGGTGATATTTCCCTCTGTGCAAGGTTATATTTATTCTGGGGAACTATGGTATCATACCTAGGCTATTTCTTCTGTAACAGAAAGGCACAAATTTACCTTTATCTTCTTCCTTCTCCTTTCCTTTCTTTAGATCTCTTGGTGGGTTTTAATTGAGATTTGTGTTCTGGTCAGGAATAACCCATTTGCTATTACTAATGTATTGGTAACAAGATCCTCTAGTAATAAATGATTAATTCATTGCAGCTGATGTAATAGTAGTTCCCCAGGAAATGTACTGGTGGTAACAGCCCCATGCGGCAATACAGGCCTAATTTGATTTGTTGGCATCTGGGGACTTTTCTCTCTTTAAGACTCTTAGCTCTATATGTGAGTGTGATCTCCATTCTGATATTGGTGGGAGAGTGGAGATATAAGCCCCTGCCCCACCTTCCCTTCCCAGTAAGAATCAGACATGCTACCCTTGTAGCTAGTTAAGGAAAAACAAGATGTGCAGCCATGTATTTATGCACATTTCTAGTTTGGCCCAGTTGCTTGATCTGTGAAGGGTTAGCTGTGTAGACAGCATCAGGCCTTTGTGCCATATTCAGCGCATGAAGGCTTTCCCACCATTCTGTGCCACCTGAACTGCTGCCATATGGTGACTCACCCTTGGGGTAATGTTGCTTCTGCCCTGTCTAAACTCTGGAGCGGCTCACAGGATCTGGAATGCCCTCTGGAAATTCATTTCACAGCCACCTTGCTGTCCCCACTTGGGTTTAGCAGAGAAGTGGTGCCCCCTTACCCCAACAAACCCTTTTCTCTTTGGTGTGCAGTTCTGCTCTTACAGAAACAAGCTCCTTCACTGGGCAGAAAAACTTCCTTTGCCTAGATCTCAAGCTGTCTCGTGTGTGTGTGTGGTCTGGTTTCTAGCATAGCTTTCAAAATGGGCACCGAATTCTAAGGAGGGACGAACTGCTTTTTTAAAAGTGTGTGTGAACTTACTGAAGAAGTGTGCATGCACACGAAAGCTCATAACAATAACAAACTTAGCTGGTCTCTAAGGTGCTACTGGAAGGATTTTTTTTATATTGAAGTACACACACAGTACTGCTAATTGTATGAAAATGGATGCAAATTCTCCCTTGCTTTGGTAGCCAATTGAGAGAATTCCAGTGAAAGTGTCAAGTTATCTGCTTTTTCCAGATTTCCTCTGCAAATTCTAGTCAATTGCTAGCAGACAAACATATCTGTACCTATCACCCACTCTTCAATATCTGACAATGCAAGATGCAAGAAAGGTGGTTTGGGTTTTGTTTGTTTTTTGTTTAATCTCTCCTTGGAGCACAAAGCAAAGGAGCAATCCCATGAGGGAAAGGTAAACAAT